CTTCACATATCATTGCTTTGATTTTCTGTTTATTGCAATTAACTGATAACATTCATACATTTTCACAATATTGACAGAATGACAGTATTTCCTGAGGCAGAGGAAACAAGATCCCAAGGCAAACTGCTGGCTACTTAAGATAACTGACTGGTGGTAATAGTGAATTACAACACTACAGAAGAATACAGAATTAAATGGAGAAACTCAAGTAGTCTAGAAACATAAGCAAAGATGAAACTCTAGTTAGCTAATCTTCCAAGAAAGAATAATGGCTGAATACAAAGAGATAAAGACTGGGCCTTTGCAAAGAGAAATACGGAACTGAACACTGGTGAATCAGTTCTTGACATGGAATATCTGGTACTTCAGATCATTGATGAATCAAACTTCAACGGAGACAGAAACTATGAAAAGAGCTACAGTAAATGTGAAATAAATCTATTCCAGTTGCAAGCAATAACCTGGGATATGTTAGTAGAAAATAAAAAGGAATAACAGTTTTAAGAAGATGAATAATTTTGATTGCGGTACCTATGATTCAGGAGATCCAAAGTTTATTTCCCTACTGTGCCACAGATAGCTTCCTGACCAACATGATACTTGGCCAACTCATATAGCCTTCATGTTCCCTACCTTAAAGMACAGTGATGGCAGTACTCTGCTGCATAGTAATACTGAACAGAGTTCATAGCCTGTCTCACYACAAACAACACTGTTATACTGGCAGAAGTCTGTAGCACAACTCCCAGCTTGGCACTCTCTATTTTTTAAACAGTCTGGTGTTCCACCACAATAAACATGTATTATTGAGAAGTGGAATTCTCCTAGACATCACAGTTCTGGAGGAGAAACAGAAAACTGAGGAGATGAAATTAACCCTTTAGTTAATTTAGTTAATCCTCTAGTCTACCTAGAAGATAGGTACACTCTAGATATCTCATAGAAATACCCTGCTGCTGGTTAGAGTGAAAATAAAAAAGCACTGTGTGCGAGTAAAAGCAATAATAAAATACTTTGTGCCTTAAATAAATTTTTTAGTTCTGTGCTGTGTTCTGCAGTGTTGCATTTCATTATCAACAATGCCCACAAATAACAACGTAATGCATAAGACCATGTCAGACACTATCCAGATTGAAGCTATTTCCTATGCAAGCGACAACCTACATGTCCTTCTCACCTTAGCAGAGTTCTAAATGAAAACAGACAGGCACCCTGTAAATATTCAGTAATTCCTCAGCCACAGTCCTCAGCCACACTCCTAGGCCAGGGAAGGATTTCATCTAAGTGATGATCTCTGATCTGGGCTAACACCAATAAAAATACTAAATTCAGACCCCAGTTTTTAAATTTTGAAAAAAAAAATACATAGGACAAGAAAGCCTACACATTATATTTATTTAAAAAAAAAAAAGAAAAAGAAAAAAGCTATGCTTTGCTGGCAACCCCTTCTGTGTTGCCAAGATCTGTAGACATTTGCATTAGTAACTATTGCAGAAGAAAACTACCAGTTCAGTTCTACAGTGAGATCAAAATGCAAGTGCTTGTAACTTCTCATCAGTATCTTATTCTGACTGTGTTTCTTTTTGTTGCATAAAATCAGCATTTTGATTCTGATGAAGAATCACATGGATGGGGATAACACTATGTTAAAGAGGACTATGGGAAAGAGGCCTTAACCTCTTAGGTTAAGACCAAAAAGAAAATACTAGCAAGAAAATGTATAAAATGTATTTGAAGACTACAGGAATTTTGATTTACAGACTAGAAACTCAGCACACTTCTGAGCAGAAAGAATAATTTATATTTTGTTATATGTGTATATATATATATTTCTTTCTCTCTCTATATATATTTCTCTTAATTAATAGAAGCTTCAAACTGTTATCTAGACCCTTTAAAGGGGAAAAGGATCAAAAAGCACTAGAGGGAGCTGCTGTTCTACTTAAACCACCTGGATTCCTGGTTTTCAGCATAAATTGTTATGCACCCAAGTGTGACAAGGGTGAGCTGCACATCTCAGCTCGCCAGTACTGAAATAATAGAATAACACTCAAAAGCAGCATCAGGCAGCAAGGACCAAAGCCATGAGCTCTGAACCAGACGAGTATAACAGAACATTTTTAAGTTGTACAGTGTATAATAAACATTTAAAAAAAMACTCAAAGGAGCTGATGATCATCCAGGGAAAACTAGCAGGAATATTCATATAACTTGTCAGTAAAAATTCTCACTGACTCCTGTCTTTTTTGGGCACCGAACTTGCTTCAGAGGGAAATAAGATTCAGTATAATGATCTCTTGAAGAAGATGCATAGGAAGTACCACTTTAACTAACTTATTTCATGCAATAGATCTACACTTTTACACTGACATAAATGCTTAACCAAAGATGTGCTGATGGTGCTAAAGGAATAGAAATTCACTACAAACACGATTTAAATATATATATATATATATATATATATATAATCAGAAATTATTCTAGAAAAGGAAAATGCTGAGCCTCTAATATTAGGTTGGAAAAGTCAGATTAGAGGCAGATGAGGAGATAAACAAAACCTTAATTGTTGCTGACTTGCATCCCTGCCTCAAAAATGTTAACAATAATAAAAATAATATACATTTCCAAAACTCACATCCTTGCCCTTCTGGTTCTTCTGAAAGTGGTCTCATAAGCTTTCCCCAACTTGCGTGGTTTTTTGGATTGTCTTTTACACCAAATCCTCTGAGTCAAAACAACTAGCTTCACCAGCTTCTTCCTCAAGGAGGCAGAACTTTCCTTCTCAAAGTTTCTCCTATCATTGCTGAGCAGTTGGCTGCTTTCCTAGTATATAAATTAACTACTACTTTATTAATTTCAGACACTCAGTGTGTGCTGTAGCTACTAGATAGCTTACTGTTTGCAGAGTGTATTTTTTGCATGTTAAGTCAATGAGTTATGCATTTTGCAATCTATCTATGCCAATTATATGACAGCAACCACCCCACAGGTGTGATAATTTTTGCTGCATTTGGGAAAGTCAAAGCTGACAATATATCCACGAGCATGAGGGGGCTGGCAATACTTGATCTGAGTATGAAACTTGAAAAGAAGAGAATGATAACTGGAATGTCAATAGAAGAGTAATTAATATGGTTTGAGCCTTAAAAAAAAATGAGAGGGATGACAAATCATGTTAAAGTCTTGTCAGTATGTACAAGCTGTAGCACTTTTACTATGGGGATACTGCCAGTGCACATTAATGTGTATTACTGCTGACTGTATGTTTGGCATATGTGTTACCTTCTCAGTTTTGGAAGAGGAATATAAAATGTTGGTGTAGGCGTATCCAAAATAAGCATTGTATAATAATAGTTATACCAGAGAAAAATAGCTCTCAACAAGATTTCAGCCATGACTGTTGAAGAACGATATGTAGCACTTCTATACTGTACCTATACGAAATTCATCGTATGGATGCCATGATAGTGACAAAATAGAACTTTTTGGTAAGAAAAATCCAAAATAGGTTGCTGTAATAAAAACACAATTTTGCTTCCATAGAGATTCCTGTCACGTCTGGGAAAGGTCATGCACCTTCACATGTCTGCCTGCCAGCAAAGCCCTAATGGCAGGATTCTATAGTGAGAAACAGCTTTATAATGGTTCACATGAAATTAAGTTGGTTAGGGTTTAACCTTGACTTTGCTACAGCTTGACAATCATTTTTAGTATTTGCACTAAGAACGATTCTGCACTGCTCCTTCCCTTTGTTTGGATTCCTGCAGTCCACATTGCAGAGTGAGGATTCCCCAAGCTGTATAGAAGACTCAAATACATAAGGCTTCAATAGGGCTGGATGTAGGAAAAGAGGGAGTGATTTTTAAGTACTTTCCTTTGTACAAATGAAAAAGAATAACTTCCCTGAGGAATATATTTTTAAACATATTTCACAAGGGTATAAGGAAAAAAGGTGATTCATAGAATTATAAAATTTGTTCTATTTTATTTTCAGATAATTATAAATGACACCTATTTCCTTTTATTCTTTCTATTTCATGCTACAGTCCACTATTCTCTTCTCTAGAAACAAGAGTAAAAGTTTCCAGTGAGGATGAAGTAGATCAGTCAAATGGTCTTACACATATCCTACTGGCATATTTCAGGTAAGCAAAAATAGGAATCACAAAACCTGTTTTGGAACAACTGGAAAGAATGAGAGGCAGCAAAAGTTGCCTTAAGCCACAAGCAAATAGCTGTTTTTTGTTTCTGCATGATAGCATTTTTAAAATATGATATATAGGAAATGGTACAAATATGAACAAATTTTCTTTTATCAAAGGCTGCATTCATTCAAGGCCTAAATTGCCCAGAACCATGCCTGACTTGAAATTTGAAATCACATATCCCTTAAAAGAAAACCCCAAAYCCAAAAGCGCTTAGATGTGAACTAAAATCTTTAGTGCTTCATTAAAAATTCTTTCATAGAGTTTTTTATTTCTTAATCTTCTAATTCTTCATAAACTTATTTGATCTACAGCTGAGTGCTCATTCCAGTGATGAGTATAATCCTCCTCACCATTCAGACAGTTGGCACATGCTTCATATGGTCCTTCGTCTTTCAAATTACCCCTCTGAGACAGAAATTATCGCATCTTAAACACAGCATCATGCAATTTGTAAACTGAATGARTGCACAGTATTGACATGGAGCATATATGGATGGTCTTTCTTTGAAATGCCGGACAATTTGCTTCTTCACTGCAGTTTTCATCTTGCTCTTTCCATCCTTTAATCCTGTATAGTCTATTATTTATATCCTGTGTAGACTTTTATTTGTGGTCCCAGTTCTTTTGCCTTTGCTGTAGCAGAAGGCTGGGAATGGTTGCTGTTTGATACAGTGAACACAAATCAATCGTTTGCAAGTCTAATTATTATTAGGTAAACTGATATAAATGTTAATAAAATTCATCATCTTAGGTTGGAGTGAAAACTTCCCATTCTCTTTCTTAGGTACTCACAGGAGGTCCTGGTGGCCCTGGTTTTCCAGGGGGCCCTGGTTTGCCTCGTCGACCCTAGAAACCGAAAGAAAAACAGACGTTTATAAAAATAAAAGCTAATGAAATTTGTAATAAGAAATTTGTTTAAAAGGAAGATATATTGTTGTGCTTACAAGCAAAAAAACCCAACTACTTTCCAAAACAAATGCTTTATACCAGTTACTGTAACAGTATTTTAATTCTACTACTTTTAGGGCTGTTTTTAATAATTATAACAAGTAGTATATTTGCATCACTGTAACATTGCCTGTCACGGTTTAAAGCCATGTCTCAAAATGAATGCATATTGATAGGGCTGTAACATACAGAACATCTTGATGATATCTAACAAAATTACATTTGAATATTCTTTATTCTAAATAATCTTCGTTGCCAAAATGAGATCTGAAGCACATTTTTAGAAACAATAGCTGGGAACAGCTATTATCTAGGCGCCATGGTAAAAAAACTATTGTTAACCATAAAGATTGAATTTTGCTTTTGCATATGACAAAGCTAAATTAATAAAATACATTAGAGGAAAGCCCTCGTGAAAACTTGTCTTATAAAGCTAAAAAAAAAATATGCTGGCTGACAGCTCATGTCCCTTTGGTAAAGCCTACCTCTGCATGTTACCAAATGGCAATCGCASACAAACCTCAGAAGTACTGTAAGGAGCGTAAAGGGGAAATCCAGCCTTGGTCTGTACAGTGGATAAAATCTAGAGATTTTCTGATCTCTAGAAAACCATCCTTGCTCTGCTTTTCCGTGATCTTAAACTATATTCTATATAAACCACATGACAAAACTAAGGTTGGAAAACCCCTCTTGCTCATGCCCTGTAGCAACCTCTTGCCTATGTGTCAGGAGCCTCCTGAGAAGCAGGAGATGGGGATTTGAAGCCCTTAAGCCCTTCCACCACTTTGGGAAGGTCCACAGTGGCATGTTTTGTCCACATGTATGTTTTAAGGGCCACACAAAAAAATAAATAAATAAACAACTCAGCATATTTGGAGTGCCAAATTCCTGGGTCTTAACTAGCTGAGACACATGTTATGTGCTGAGCTGTTTAATCCCATTGGTTGCTGAACATGCAGAGCTACAAGTGGAGCAGCACAGGCCAAGCTTTCAGAGGCAGCCCGCGTGGCCCAAGGCCTAGGCTTGCGTCAAGGCCACGCTGCCCCTCAGAGCAGGCCCTCATGCTTGGCCATGGCACGCCCCTCATGGCACAAATCCATGCTATCCATGTTGCCTGTGGTCAGCCCCAGCAGGAAAGCACCTGGAGTTAGGGATAATCCCTGGGGAAGAAAAGTTGCTTTTATTTTTGATGGGTTCCTCTGTTCAGTTTGCTGCGTAACTGCACTGGGAGAGACATGAGGAAAGAGGGTCTGCTGCTGGCCAGCAGTGCTGCCAAAATAAACACTTGTGAAACTTCAGGATACACTGCTTTGGGCCTTAGTTCTTCATGCCAAATTCCTACTTAGATTATAATTCCCCAAGTTGAGATGTGCCTCTTTGGACTGATCTGCAATCCAGAAACCAAGGTGGAGAGCAAAGCCTCCAGATTTTTTGAAAAGTAGTAAACTTAGATTAGGCACAATATCAGGAGCCTGATATTTACTAAATAATAAAAAAATACAAATTGTTTCATACTTTTTAAATAGTGCCCATGAGTTATCAAGAGCCGTGCTGYTGACTTATTGAAACATCTTCCTTTTCCTGTTTGGATTTATTTAAAGTATACTGAGGATGACACTTAAAATCACAACAGTCTAAACAAAGTATCAAGGAAGTGTCAAGGGAAAGAGGGCAGGGCTTTGACGGGCAGACACAACTGCGAACGAGGTGTTAATTACACAGGAAAACAYGGAACATGCTTGGAAGGCGATTTTTTTCCTTTACAAGATGAGCTATGATGTGATTTATGACATTTTGCAAAGTGAAAACTGAGTAGATGGTGAACTTTCTGGAAATCAGAAGCAAAACAAAAATATTTCTGTGTATTTTTTTTTTGCTCTGTCATTGATTAACCACTTGAACATTTACCCAGTGAGACATAAAGTAAGCACTTTCCCTATCTTTTATTCAACCAGTGCATTATTAGACATTATAGTACATTCCATATGTATAAGAAAAGATGTACAATAATCACACACAAATCCGTACACTTAGAGGAGCAAAAGTTAATGAAAATACCACCATCAGGGAAAAGTCTAAGAATTCAAGTTATATGTTTCTATAATGTGTTTCTATCATAGAGTCTTCATTTTTCTTCTACATTTTTGGCCAATGTAGAACTAGAAAAATAATTTTCTTTACTGATTCATAACCACAAACATTCTTTCACAAACATGAACATTTTGTATTGAACTATTTTGCAATATTTAGATAACATAGGGGATAKTAATCCTTTTCTCCATTAGCCCAATTTAGCTACCCAGCTTTAAGAAACAACTATAGTATGGCCAGTGCAGCAATCATAATAGACTTTGAAAAATAAGTAAAATGTTTTTCTGAAATGAAGCATCTGCTTTTTCTAGAAGAACGGAAGGAAGGAAGGAAGGAAGGAAGGAAGGAAGGAAGGAAGGAAGGAAGGAAGGAAGGAAGGAAGGAAGGAAGGAAGGAAGGAAGGAAATCTTCAAGCCCTTCGTAGTTCACAGAGTGTGTTTAGCTGGGAGCCGCAGATCCAGACTCCTTTTCAGAGGTGGGTATCGCCTGTGCTCCTCATGGTACTGCAGGGTCTGGAGCAGTCAGCTGGCCCAGGAGGCCACAAAAGCCCTACCCTCTTGCTCCTTTGCAAGCAGAAGTGTGCAGATTACAATAAACAACAAAAAAAAAGTGTTGACCAGACCACATTTTGGGTGACAAATTATCCCCAAATGCTAAATTTAAAGTGAATTTAATTACTTTTATTTATCTGAGTTCACTRGGCAAATAAAACATCTCAAAACATAAATAGAAAAATAAACATCCTAGATGCCATACTCTAGTTTTAACTAATTAAAAATGMAGTACCACCTAATCTGACTTAAAATAAAAAAGTGGTGCCAACAAGTTTTCTGAGACTATTTACAACAGTATCTAAAGAAAATAAAAATTCAACAGCTGCTGACATTCCTTTTTTGCTGGATACATTTTTGTTAGATATCAATATGATAAGAAGTTCTCTAAATATTATTAATTTTTTTGTATCAGTCCAYTGAGATATGAAATGCCTGTTTCAAACTAATTTAATCATATGCTCCATTCCTCTTCTTCTTTGGACAAACTTCAGCCCTCACACACACCTAAATGACTCAAATAATACCTGCTTCGTCAAACAGGACAAAATGTTAAATTAAGATAAAGGAGCCAGCAGCCCCCAGCTGAGTGCCTTGCTAAAGTATGCAGACAATTGAACTTTCATTCCTCTCTAGCTCACTCCTTTTGCTAATCAAAAAGAGTTGACAAGTTTTGCCTCAAAGTAGATGGAAATTTCTTTAGGACAGAGGMTCTGTGCATCCTATCATACATTTGAACTCTGATTCTGCCTACGGTCTTTGAACTCTACCACAGACTTTAATAAATAGTGAAAGAAATACTGCAACTTTCTGCCATATCATACTGCACCTATCTATTCACATATTGCTATGGACAGAAGAGTAAGACTACTTTTAGTATATATAATAAACTACAGGTTATTTGGGGATTATTTTAGTAGAGTTATACACAGGAACTCTGACATATTTGTGAAAGGGAATTAACAATTTAAAGAACCCACATGAGGATGAAGGAAAAAAGTCTTAAAATGTCTATGTGATTTTCAAGGGGAATAACTAATTAGCAGTTTCTGAAACATCATCATATTTCAAAACAGGAACTAATATACTAGAGAAAGCAGGAAGTCGGGTTTAAAGTCTTAAGTACTTCAGGTACTAAACAAGATAAATGAGGCTAATGTCAACTTGTTTGCCAAGCTAAACTAGGATTCTCTGCAATAAACTTCCAAAGTCAGATTGGCAGAGTGAGAAATACACCCCCAAAAGGGAACAAAGTGGAAAGGAAAGACTCGTATCTCAGCATCCAATCCTCTGGACTCCCCATCAGCTCGTTAGGCACGAGTAATTCCAAGATTATTACTTGACATGCCCAGAGCTGCCACTGGGCAGCCTGGCAGTCCTCAGTGCCCACACTATTTCAGAAGACACAAATACACATCAGGGGCTTTCCTTTGCCTTAGCCTTCTGAGCCAGCTAATCCAATGGACATTCTTTGAATAGGCCTAACCCACATTAAGAGACCCGATCTCTACACATAACATAAAATACATTCCTTCATTAACACCAGAGAAAAAGGCATGGCATATCTCCTTTTCTTCTAAAAATCCAATCAAGGTACTTCTCTCAGGCTGTGACCTGTATGACAAGCCCATGTAGCAGCTTAGTCCCCTTAAAGGAAAGCTCTTACTTAGTCTTCCCATTTTCCCCGTGTGTCTGTACTCATGACTCTGTGTTCACTGCTGCTTACGTGCAGCTTGCAAAGCCTGCCAGAGTAAGCCAGTTCAAAAAGTAATTGGAAAAGGAAGATAAGAATCAATCACAAAAATCAGAGCAACCACCCATCTAACCCTGTGCTCTTTTCTCTGACTGTAACAGACAGTTAGAAGGAGCTGTAATTATGGGAGAGTGTGCATCTATTTGACATTTAACCACCTGATTCTGCACTGCTGCTCTTAATAGGAGTTCTGGCACTAAGGCACAGAAATCTCACAGCTCTCCTGTCACCTCAACTGGGAATTCAGCCCGTAGTCAATGAACCCCAATACAGCAGCAGGACTTAAATGTACAAATCCTTCTGTCTATTTTTAATCTTAGCCTTAAGGATATATCATGCTAATCAGCACACTACAAATTAACTTCAACATTTAATTTTTAACCTGAATAAACTTAAATTTAAAGAATGTCTTACAATATATTAAGATTGCTTTTTTTTTTTTGTATTTATAAAATGCCAAAAGGATAATCTAGACAGACTATGTACTATTCTTTCTACATATTGAATAAGCATTTAAAAAGTCCTTAAAAGATGGATAGCATTGCCAGCAAGTAAATTTCTGCAACTTAAAATCTCCGATGCCTATATCTATAGGATTACAACAAATGCAGTGAACATTTATCTATTTAAAAAGATTTTCCAATGTGTCATACTTTTATTCGTGCTCACTAGCAAGCCTTGTAATCTCAGACAGAAAATCAAGCATGAATATAAAGTAAGTTCCTTAAGGTAATTTTACAAGCTCCTTCTAAACACAATTTTGGTGAGAACAATGTTGAAACACTGGATATGATATCTCAAAGGACTGTCAGTTTTATGAGGCATTAAATTTATTACTAAGGTAATGCTAAGAATAGCCTCCTCTTAAATGAAATATTTGATGTTATAAACACAACAATCGCAAATGAGGAAGTTGTTTCAAAAATATTTACTTCAAGACACCTGCAACTTCCCTAGGAATATACTCTGAGGAATATCGCTGCAGTACTGTGGAAAGATTTATAAATCCTTTGAACTGAATTAATTATTAGAACCAAGGAAACCACCAAGGTGGAGAGTGAGTCAGTTAAATACATAGGAAACATTTCCAAAAATCCTATTAACCCATAAAAAAAAGTTGTTGATAGCTACACTGAGAAAAATCTAGAGCTAGTTAAATTAAAACAGAATGCAAAAATGAACCACTTTTAAATTTCACAGTGGAGATATAAGGAAGTCRATTTTTAGCTCTGCATTAAAAGAATTTTTGGAACTAATTAAAATTGCATATAAAAAGTAATAGCATTTTCAGAAATCATTTATTTCCCATGCCTTTGGAATTTTGGAAATAAAACTTTCACTTCACTGTATTTGACATAGTGAAGGCAGACTCTGGAAAACTCAACACAGTCTCTATTTATAAACAGTGGAAACTTGAGGAAAATACAGTAATGTAATAAAAAAATAAGGACAGAAGAAAATGCCTTACATGGGAAACTGAAGTACCTCAGTTCAATTTCTTTGAAAATAAATGGAAAGGTGATTTGATTACAGAGAGAGAGAGAAAAAAAAGTCTTTAAGTATGTCTTTAATGTTATTCAGACAGACATAACAAAAACCAGTTGCTGGAGGCTGAAGCTACATGCTCAAGTTAAAAATAATAAGCACATTTTGAAATATGGGAATGACTAAAAAATAGTGGAAAGAACAGAGGAGAAGCCTGGTGAARTGTCTTGCTGATGTCTTTCAGGTGGAAACTACTTCTGTAGAAGATATGCTTAGCTAACCACAATTCCTGTGGCAATGCAGGAGTATTGAGAGAAATGCAATGTCCTGCTAGGCAAGAAGTTAGAAGAGACAAGAGTGGCCCATGGTGGTTTAAATTCCATGCAATGCTAGATCAGCACCCAAACTTTTGGTGTTTTTTGCATAGTAATATAGGACCAAGGATTTTCCTGGGTAACATCTCATTACCTTCCGAAGCTCCTCATACAACTTTGTATAATAGTACCAAGTTGTTGCAGCAGTAATATACTGCTCTGAGTGCCTGAGGCCAACAGGAGGAACATTATAAAACTACCCAATCTCCACAGAATGACCTAGTGTCTCTTGTTCAGGAATGGGCAAGAGGGAATGAGTAGCCATCCCTACTAGTCCATTTATACCAGTGACTTCAGAATTAAATTTTTCCCAAAATTAAAGAGGGAATATTACTTAGCAAGGCCTCATGTTTAACACAAGCGTAACAATCCATTTCACTAAAGACGACAAAATCAAAAATTTGTACAAATTCACTAGTGGTAGAGCATGGAGGAACACTGGTCTTTCTATTAAGTAAAGGAAAGTTCGGAGGACTACTGGAGATGAGATAAATAAACACAACCAATACACTGGTAAATACTGGACTATTAACCTATCTATTTTTAATTCAGAAAATAATTTTATGGGTTATAATACTGTAATTATATGAATTACCAACATGGACACAAGACATCTCACACACTTATATCAAAAAAAAAAAAAAAAAAAAAAAAAGAAATGTTGTCAGGTTATTTGAGTGCCATCATTTAAAAGCAGAAGAATCTAAACTGCTCAGTGACTGAGAAGCAAGATCAAATTCCAGCATGATGTATTAGATCCTCAGGACACAGAAAGTAACACAACAATGATTTTAATAATCACACGTTGACTCAAATGATATGATGCAATTGCATCTATAACTTATTCCTTAGACAAAAGCTATTACCTGGTTTTGAAATAATGTATTGATATCTTTTTTTGCTCTTGAAATAAAAGTCTATAGTCATTATTTTATTGAGATTGTAAATCTGTACTTGTTAATAGATTTCACATATGGATCAATAAATTTTTCAAGCTTGATATAATTTTGAACTCAGAAATGTACCAAGCATTATTTTTTATCCTTATCCCACTAAAATAGTAACCCACTTTAGTAACACATTAAAGTATGATGTTTCTTCTTCCCTTTCTATCTCATTTTATGGTCTCACCTAACTCACTAGCTCTAACACGAGCTTTCCACATGTTTGAGTTTGACACACCAATATTAATATAGTTAATTTTCCAGTTTCATAGATCCTGCTTTTATACATGTTTGGAGGCTTCTAATTTAGACACTTAATATTTCTTGGCTGCGTGCCTTATTAATCTTCAAAATCCAATCTTCAAAAGTGCTTAAGAACACTTGAAAATGTTGCTGTAGTAAGTGGAAATTAGAACTCCGAGTATGTCAAGTACTATACAAATGAAAAGTATATAAAAATCAGGGTTCTCAAAGTAAGGCATCCAAACGGAATATTTTTAAAATTTTCATTTTTTTTTTACTTTTATATATATTTATTTTATTTATATATATATATTTTTTTTCAAATATGTTATAATCTTAATCTGTAATAGAAAATTTAGATCTGGATATCATGTGGTATAAAAATCATCAGCTAGTTATACACTCAATATCATGCTTGAAGGCTCAAAAAAAAAAAGCCCATGAGAAAACTGGTAACTTCATATAAAATGTTAAGATTCTGATGATCTGCTACAAGTATAACAGGGGAACATGACTTCTATAATTAAGTAAAAAAGAATATTAAATAGACATTAGATGTGTCCTGCCCTGTTTGTCATTAAATAGAGCAGAGATCTTGTTAGAATCAGTATGTTATTGTGTAATTAAATGTATTGGAAATGTAAATCCCCATGGGAGCTGAATAAAGACTGTAAACTAAATAAAAACTGCAAACCTAATAAAAATTGCAAACTTTGGTGGTGGTGACGGCTAGTAGAAAATCTAAAAAGAACACGAGTATTGTTGTGACCATTTCATTGACAGAAAGATAAAGACAGATGCTGAGATTCTGAAATCTGGTGTTCCCATTGTTTGGCTCAAGGCAAATGTGTGCAATGCTGAGATTATAAAACAATCAGCTCTCCTGTTTATACATATATACAACAGTTTAAGTATGAACAGGAAATTACCATTATAAATTTATCAACTCCATAATTTCCAAAATAGAAAAAAAAAAAAAAAGGCATCTCCATAATCATTTTTTCCAGCATTTCATCTAACATTACGCAATAATGCAGAGTCTTTGCTTCAGAATATTAAGAAATTCAAAGAACTACCTGTTTCTAAAGCACGGTCACATTTAGACTTCTTCCCAAAGGAGAAACACAAACCTCTGTATTTTTGCAGAATCAATACTCCATAGAAAAACTTTCTAAAATTAGATATTTGCAGCTTTTATGTACTTCATAACTCTTAAAAGCATAGCAATAAGACAAAATAATTATAAAGTCCTAACAGTAAATCCATAATTTCATGTTTATACTCCCTACATAACTTCTGCTATACCTTTTCTATGCTGTTGTTGTTTAATTGGATTCTCTATCATTACTTTGAAATTCAAAGAACCTCAGCTTTCATATAGCAATATTTAACTTAAATGAAATTTAGTACTATTTTTATAACTTCAATTTGTAAGTTCAACAAGCTACTGTTTAAAGAAACAACAACATAGCTTCTAGGCCTAAAGGCCATTAGTTATTTTGTCTTATGTCAATATTATTATTATTATTATTATTCGAATGACTAAACTGGTCTTTAATAATTCCACTGACCATAAATCACTTCAGTTGACTAAGATAAGAGATGAATGATACTAAATGCTTTCCCTACAGATAATTTAACTCAGATATTAAAAATCACAATGCCTAAGTTAACCAAGAATTATTAAGGGACCAAAATCAAAAACCTCTCATTGGGGTCAATTTAATTTGGACAAATATTGAAGTGTTTATGTATGAGCATCTTCCCAGACTGTAAGGAATCTCAAGAAAAAAAAATTTCCTGAGGTGTTGGAACAATAAATATCTTTATATCATTATTTTTTCTACAAAACTACCAAATTCAGTAAGTGAAAGTAAATGGATAAGGAGCAAAGAGAAACCAGTCAATTATTACATTTAAAACTAGAGAAATCAAGGTTTATTTCAAGCCTTAAGCATAATTCTCAACTGTTCCATTTCCTATCATTTTTCTTCTCTTTGTACATGTATACCAGGTCTTGATAATCATGTAGTAGTAACTCCAACAAAAAATGGAGTTCTAGTTTCTGTTAATATTTTAGCAATGACTCTTAAATCAGATTTTCATACATCCTGGTTATAGTAAGGTATGGCCTATTCCTGCAATAAATCTAAAAGTTTGGAGTAATTTTATTATTGTTTCATTTAAAATTACAGCAGAATCATTGAACAAATGACAAGACCTGCATCTGTGCTGTCAGTCATTAAAACATTTTGGATGGTTTAAATCGTTAAATCTCCTTCCACTGAAAAGAAACCTCAAATGTCAAAGCTCAGTTTGTTGTCAGCATGTTTCATACTCAGCTGCTACCTTTCAATTTTTTATTAGTGCTTAGAAAGAAGTAACACATCAAGGACAGTTAGCACACCCACCAGTTGTTCACAGAGTTTACTCACCCTTTGACCTTCTTTGCCAGGTGGACCTTGGGGACCCTCCAATCCTGGCAAACCCTGAAAATACAAACATTAAACAAATATAGCATTCAATGCTATTTTCACCCTGCATTATTCTATTCAAGTGAGACTATGCCAAAGAGCCAGATGTCAGGACAAAGCATTTATTTCTAATAATAAAAATAGGTTAGCCATAATAACCTCTTTCGGGGTGATRTTACATTCAAGACCGTAAAAAATGCAAACAGTAATTATTAACCACATTCCTCCATATAAAGGCTGAATCACTTAGAAAAGCAATAAAGTAGATTATAAATACAATAAGCTACAGCTTTATATGAACAGTTACTTATCTTCTTAAGTTAGGATGCCRTAAGAAAATAGAGAAGCTATATTAAATGAACGACAACTTACACTAAAACTCAAATTCAGATTTAGGCAGTGGAGGGAAAGGGGGAATGAAGGGGACATGCTCTCATGGCCTAAATATAGCAGAAGGCCTTATGCTCACTCAGGTCTCTGCATTCTCCCCAGAGAGCCCCCCTCTTTGCTCTCTCCCACGAGCAGGCACCGGAGCTTTGGATAGCTCAATGYACACTCTACTTCTGATACCAGTGCAGGATCTGTCCTTCCAGTCATGGAATTAGAGACTYTTTCTGAGGCTTCAAGGCTTTAATTCTATGTCTGATTAGCATACAACGTAATCATAAAGCTATCAAGTAACAGCTTTGTGCTTAGAACAATGCCCCTCTTGCTTTATCAGTCATCCTGGAATACAAATACTTCTTAAAATGACTTGGGGGAAGCTATCCAATTTCCATTTCAGTCATAAAAGGTATAAAATGAGCTTTGATATAATCAGCAAAGAATACAGATCTGTTCTGCTTTGTATAACTAAAAAAAAAATCAGTGTAATGTTACATACTCTTTTAGGATATGACAAAATTAACTATTTTTTGGTTTATTTAACAACAGTTATTACTTCAGCTCTACTTATGCATGTGGTGAAATGGTGAGCTCCTTATTTAGAATCAGTTATGCATCTTTACTCTAGTGCACCAAATATGGATAAACTGAGGCTCAACAGAATCACATTTTAACAAAAATGTTCATATTTAAAGAAATGAACTTAAAAGAAATTTTTTGATCTCTAATTCCCCAGATAAACTTGAAAAACTAATTTGACTGTGTCAAGAGCACATCCTTCAAGTGTCATTTTCACTTAACAAAAAAATGAACTGTCTTCAATTGTAAATAATTTTCAGTTTAAGAGTTTTTCTTAGAATTTCTCCACCTTCAACTATTGAAATCAGAAGAATACGTCAGATGTTATTTCATTACAGAATATATTTCTTTTTCCCTTCAATATATAATATTAATGCAGTACAATGCAGGATCTGTTACAAAACTGCTGCATACTTTTTATTTCCTTAATTTCCCCAAAATTTATGGGCCTAAAATACATATGACAATGAAAACCTGGTGTGTCCAATAAATCGCAATATATTAATTACAGTGCAGTTATGTGTCTTATACATTGCTTATAAAGCAATATATGAATATGAGCTCTGTAAATCTCTTTTTTTTCTCTCCAAGATAGTTTGAAAATTTGTTAACAATTCTCACTATTATCAATATTTTATTTTTATAAAAAATTCTGGGAATTCAGGAAAAGGTGGGGATTTRTTTTGTTAATATTTCAATTGTACTGACAATTTGATATAGGAAAAYGAGATGAAACTTCAATGTCTTTTTTATGAGGGTGGAAATACTTAGCCTCACATATCTGTACAATGAGGTTCCAGGGGGATAAGAATTCTACAACAATATATCTGCAAAGTAATGATAATTAATAGCCTTTTTTTTATTATTCTAGACTTTTATTCTTTTTCTTTTCTCTCTACAATATTATTGTCAAGAAAAGGAACCAGATAAGAAGGTTTATCTTCAAGGAAAGGGAGGAGAGCTGCTTACAATTGGTAACTAGGCAGGGAGGACTACACTGTTCAAGGAGCCATATCCTGACATTGAAACTGAGTTAAAAGTTCACACTAATTTCAGAGAGATCTCTGGTTTAAAAAGTGATAGGACAACACGAACTATGTTAGCTAAAAGGTCTGTCAAATTGTAATAAATTAGCAATTGTAATGAATTAGCAACACCACCACCACCAATTAGCAACATGATCTCTGTAAACAGTTATGCAAAACATTGTCAGTTAAATTCCTACAAAATTTGGCAAAGAACTAAGTCCATCATGAAAATAGAGTATGCACTTGTAAGAAGGCAGCCCAAAGTATCTACTTCTTCTACATCTTTTCCCTATTTTACTTCTGGAACATTTGCTCTGGAGCTCCAAGATCAGATTCTCTATTTGCTTAGCCTATAGAGTAGTGGGTGGAGGACAAGCCTCTCAAAATAATTTTCTTTGGTATCTTTCTTTGAACTCATGTGTCTTATGTGACTTGGTATCCCTTGGACTTATGTGTCTGAAGCTTGATGAATACGAAACAGAAATACGTTTCAAACATGTCTAAGGAATAGGGAAAAAGTGGTAGATTTAAAAAAATGCTACAGTCAAGCAAGTGAGGTTTTAAAATACTTTGCATCTCTCACTGTAAGTATCTGTAGCAAATAAACTGTTTATTGTGTAGTTATGACACCATAAAAATGTCAGGACTATGAGTACTATGATGAAATAATTAGATACATGCTTTTTGAACACCTTAGTTATCTTAATCTTTAAAAATTAGGGGGAAAAAACCCTAAAATTAGAAGACAATATGCTCTAGGTTGACATTTTTGGCAAGTACCTGAAGGTATAATCTTACGGGAGTTACTAAACTTGAGATGGAAGAAGTGAACTGTGTTTGGAAGGTAGATGATAGAAATATCACCTAGCAGCCCAGTCAGTTAAACTGCTTTAAGTTTCATAAGGTATCAGTTTAAAGTGTACTAGCTGGCATGTCTAAGAAGCTATGTACTACAGAAGGGCTAAAATCCTGTTGTGTGACCACACAAATACAAAAGGAAATAATAAAAAAAAAAAAACTAAAAAAAAAAAAAAAAAAACTTTAATTATTTGTTATATGAAAGCAACTGTCCACAGAGGCACCGTAGAGACTTGGTTCATTATTTAATAGTTCAAAATCAACGCCTAAGAACACACTGAACAAAAGCGAAGCATTTATCATGACCTCTTGGTCAATTAAAAAAAAAAAACAGCTGAAGTGGAAGAGTGAAGTTACTTCAAGTTGTTATTCATATTACTTCCTCTGGAAGCTTACAGCTGAAGCCAAAAGCATATTCAACAAGTATTACACAAGTAAGTATTTTTAGTATTCTGAGAGTTACTTCAAAATGAACCTAATAGTTTTTGAAGCAGACAGCTAGACAGCTGCTTTATGCACTGTTGGGTAGTGTTGTTGAAATAGATTCCAAACACAAGAGCCTCTTCTTCCCCATACAAATTAGATACAAAAAGCAAATGCTAACAGTAATACAAAAGGTCTCATTAATGGCACAAAAAATATTTTATTCTAGACCTCTACAGATTATTTTTCCATCTCCTATACATAAAATTTATTTCATCCATTTTTTTTTYCCTCACTACAAATTCAGGCTTACACAATACTCCAATTTTTATCGAATAAATATGACTACACAGGGAGAAAGTGCATAAAGTTTAGYGAGACAAGTCAAAGCCTAAATTAGTTATGCAGAAACATCTCTTGGGGCAGGGCAAGAACAGGTCATTTTTTGCCACCTGACTATGTGAGTTTTATAACTTGCTACTTTAAAAAGATTCAGCTGTCACGGACACTGTTTGTCAAAGCAGTTGTGAAATTACATGTTTATAAACATAAAGGTGTATCTCTACTCAAACAGTGCATGAAGAGATCAACAGCAGAATTCCTTTCATAAGTGGATTGCTGAGTGATTCCCACTGCAGAGGCTTGACCTATTTTTTCAATGCAAAGAAAAGTTCTGGCACACTTCAGATGAACCAGCTGTATAGTTATCTCTCTGTGAAGTCCACAGCAATGTAAGATCTCACAAACCAACAATCAGGTAAAAAGTGGCCACTGATTTAAAGGAGACTGGGACCACAGAAAACAGCTGCAGCCCCAAGGAATCCCAGGGCATTCCCCAGCTGCCAAGTACTGCATGAAGCAAGGACAGGGTGGCTGCAGCTGCACTCACGCAAGGAGGCCTCAGAGATGCAGGAAAAGACACAAGATGTATCAAGATGCAGTTGAGTTATGACTTAAGCTCATCTACTTCTCTGTGGCTGTTAACAGGAGATAAATTTTACTGTTCAGGTCATGATTTTCTTCATCATCCTTCTAGCCYACAATGAGGATTTTTCTCTCTCTGGCCTGTTTCCACCATAATGCAGGGAAATCTGTGGCTTTCATTCTTTTAAGACTGGGGATTACCTCTAGCAAGCAAAGAAATCAAAATATACCTTATTCAAAGTAAGGGTGACTACAGCCTTGCCTTGCCAGATATCTCCAAGTCAGTCTCTTTTCTGTGACTGTCCCACTGTCCYCCTTTAAGTAGCCCAAGTGGATGGGAAAGACATATCTTTAATGCGACTCTCATATTTTCCTCTCTTCAACCACAATATTGACCATCACTACGCACACAGAAACCCACAGAGCCCATAGACTCTGATGTTACAGAATATTGCTAAAAGTGGAAAAAATGTCACAGGGATTTCACACACAAATGGTCCATTTGWTACATTAACATTTAGGAGAGACAAATTCGGCAACTACTTCTTTCATCACCTTTTGACAATTGCTTATATACATCTTCAGCATTTCCTAATGTGATCTAATCCCACTCACATCCCCAATGAAGTAAATGAGGTTGGCACATTGGGGTTGGGGATCTCTTTTTTGGGGGACTCTTGCTACTAGAACAGACTGTTTGGCTCTTAAGTTTTCAAGTGGAATGGATTTCATCTTCTGCTYTCAGAACTGCTGCCAACCCATTTGCCTCACTGGAAAAAAAAACCCAGCAGTTAGCCATAAATATTTCAGATTGCATGA